GTCGAAGGGAGAATCCTAGGGTCTGTTAGTGTGTGAACCTTGAGCTTGAGCATGCAAGCAAACTTACCAAACAACATAGCTCTGGAACAGAAGCTTCGACATGGCAGAGACGTATACATTATTGATCTGGCAAATCTGTGCCAGTTGCAGAGCGGATGGAGCTCCAGTAAGCAAGAAGCAGACGATTATGAAGATCGGATCGCCCAGGATACTAATCGGGACGTGTTTAGCGAGCAGAGCAAGGAGAGGCGCCATGATCAAGGTTGGGAGGAGCATGCGTGCCACGAGGGAGGCAATAATGAGCTTCTTCTCTTCCTTGGGATGCCCAATGTCTTCGAGCGCTTCTTGGGACAAAGTGTTTCGTGCGAGGTTGGCTCCTAGGACGACCAGGATCAAGGGTACGGCAACTTGAGCATTCTGGTTGATAGCTCGAGTGACTGAATTGCGCACGAAAGTATCCTCGTCGAAGAACAAGTGCTGTAAGGACGGCACGGATGCCACGATAATCGACACAAGCATAGCCCACAGAGGAGGATTCATGAAGTTCCATAGACCATTGAGAAACATTTTAATACCGCGAGCACAAAGAGACAAGGGTTTCTGTACACTGCTCGGAAGTCGACTGTACAGTGCGTTTGTGCTTTTCTCCCAGCCGCTCGCGATATAGGTTGTCATGCGACTACGGCGTTGCCCCAGATACTCCTTGACTCGTATGAACGGTCCCTTTTTGTGCTGGTGACCTTCATGCGACAACTCAACGTTCGGAAACAATAGGATGTGGCCTCCAGTACTTTGACGCGGAAGGAACGGTCCGCTGGGGGGAGGCCCGATCAAGGAAGGGTGGCGATCTGATTCATCGTTCACTTGGCCATGAGGGGGTAGCTTCGTATAGGAATACGTCTGAGCTGTCACGGGGGTTTGTTCACCGGACCTGAACTCTTCCGTGTCGCCGGAAGAGCCCGCTGCACCGTGGGTAAGGCTATCAGAGCTTCGAGTCCTGATGAGTGGCTCATCTGGGTCCGTCTGGTTCGGGTTGTCGCTGTAGCACTCCTGTCCTTGCTCAATTCGGGTCGCGCCGTCTTCCCTATCTGCCTCTTCCAGGTATCGTTCCTTCKGAGCAAGAAGAATATGATAGCCCCAACTCCAGCGCACGAGCTGACCTAATTGCTGGAATATGAGGAGGTATAGAATTCCACGGGCAGCCACTTCGTCATCGTTGTCATTAGGGATTTTGCTCCAGTGAAGGCCTTTTAGGGTCTGTGAAAGTGACATGACGAGGGATATAGGTAGGGAATTCGAGTTACCGAAGACCTGTTAATAAAGGAGATTAGATAGGCAATGTAGTGAGAAGATTTTGGAATACGTACAGCCATTGCCGCCACAAAATTGGCCTGTCGTTTTCTGAAACGGAGACATCGCGATATAACCCAAGCACAGGAATAAGAGACGAAGGTTTGAACGATGAAGATAAACGGGATGATGGCAAGATCAGTGAGTTTCTCCGCCGTCAGTTGAGAACCAAGTTTGATGAAGACTACACAATATTAGCTTCAAGATCATCCATTGGAGACAACAAGAAAGAGCTACATACTCAGACATGGGGTAAACAGCATGACGTTGAGGTTAGCGACCAACTTCTGAGCTTCTGCATCGAACATGCCCTGTCTGGCAACTATGTAACCGGGCAAGCTGACACACACTACCTCCAACACAGCTTCAAAAACCAGAAGGACGAGGTGGAAGAATGAGGGATGGCTCGAATGGCCGCCATCCTGAAGGACCCCAGCATTCATGATCCCCGATTGCATTTGAGTCACGAACTGGCGAGGAACCAAGGTATTGACATTCTGAAGCGATTTGGGAGACGTAAAAATGGCCATGGACTAGAGGAATTATTGATTAGACCACCCGACGGGGAGGATGAGTGACGGATGTTTGGTGGCGGAAAGCCAAAGGTGATGTCGTGAATGAGAGTTCCTGATTATTATTTAAGGTTTGGGCTGGTGCTCGGAAAGTGAGCGGCGGTCGGCGTTTCGGACTCAACTGGGGTTCGGCGACCGTGGAAATTCCAATGTGAGAATAGCGGGATGAGGTGATAAAAAAATATTATACACAGTTGTAGTGACAGTTGAATATTGAAGATAACGATGAGACGAGATGGGATGAGGAAGTCATGATAGTTACAGGTCGGTAGCAGTGTTGGATGTGGCAGTGTAAGGTAGGATTGCGAATCGCCCAGAGACAGAGCTGAGGAATTAGCGCCAAGAAAGCGAGAACAATTTAGATAGGAAGATCAATAACGATAATACAAAGCAAAGTTTCAAGACACGTCAATTATGAAACTGTTCAGGCAACAGGCTGAGATAGTGATGATATAACCACTACCTAATCCTTTGTGCGACCTTTGAAGCTGCCAGCAATGGTTCAACACCAGTTTGAAGCTTCTTGTTCTTGTACCTACCTGTAGACTTGAACAGCCATAAACGCCAATTCTGACGCAAGACCTGTGCCAAGAATCCAATCAGAATGGAAGGAAGGACTATAGTAGCACATTCGGCAGTACAGAGTAGTGATTGGCTTTATCACTTATCTTACTCTGGCTCTCCATTAAACAGTCAACCTACATACCTTGGCACTTTTCTAATAGGGTACTTCTCTATCAGTCGTACCTCACAGGTACTACTCTCACTTGAGTACTCCTTTCCAATTTGATGTGCGAATTTGCAGACATGTACCTATCTAGTCCTTACTATTTAGTGGTGAAAATCCATGGACATGTTGTACAAGAACGCAAAGGTGCATCGTCATTCTCTCTCCACCACACTGAGAGAGCAGGAAATTTCGAAAGATGATCCTATATCATATCTACATACTGCAAGTTAGTTTGAAGTCATCAGGATTATACAGCACCACAGTTCTTGATGGAGCTTTTCACTTGAACAGTCATTGAGAGCTTTATCTCTATCACGTCATGATCGGCACACATCTTGGATCCCTGCAGATACCTTAAAAGGTCCGGATTGTCTGAGAGCAGGAGTATATAAAGTCACTACTATCCTCAGTGTGGTCATTTGGTGGCATACTTGATTTGGCGCGCCTGACTCGAAAGAATAAGGAAAGGAACGTGAATTTTGATCCTTTGATACCTAAATTGATTCTCAAGAGAAGAACCGCGGACAAGTTCTCGAGGTCGGACTGGCTCCCAAGCTACGCGCATTCCTGTTGCACAGTTTGATTAGGGCGTACTATCATCATCCGACATTATATGACTTCATCTGATGCAAGTTGACAGATTAACGGGCTTGCTTTGGTGTCTATACGTGACTCAAGGTGGGAGAGTCTGGGAGCAATTATGGGCAAGAATACGCAAACAATCAACGGACTTTGCCCCCATTCCGATCCAGACAGTATGATTGGCTGATCACAATTGTTTCAAGTCAAACATTCATGCATTGCACCATCCACAGCAGCGCCACAACGGGAGGACTCAGCCGATCGGCAACATAGGCAGCCAGCAAAGCCCGCCAATGACAGCTCCGTTTGATCCATTCACCAATGCCTACCTACTTAGGTACCTTGAGGGCTACCGGAGAACCTTTGAAGGATTTGGGACAAGGATTTATCAGGGATGGACAGATAGCTGATATAACGTAGCACAGTATATAGCATCTGGTGAGGTGATAGTGAAGAACAACAAAGAACAGAGTTTGATACCTAAGGTATATTCTCCAAGTAAACACCTGAGAGGGTGAACTAACAACTTGGGAGGCTTGTGTCTGACGTAGTGTGGGGTTATCAGTTCTCCAGAAAACAAGATCAAACCTGCGCCGTTATATTACAAGCTGGTTATTGAATCCAGGTACTATCTAGAGCTACTGGATCAATGACAACATCATACTTTAATTGGATAGAAACGAAGGCACTTAATTATCAAATTGAATTTGCTCCGTGGCTGGTAGCCATAGACCCTGGACTCGCAGTTCCGTGTCCCGTTGGTAAAGTCGGATGGTTCGGTTCGACGCAGCCTGTCCTTGTTCTACTGTTTCGCGGTGGAAACTCGTCTGTAAAGAATCAAGACTATGCAAGAGGTCGAGCTGTAGATCTTTTGCAGGTTAGACATGAGTAGTGAATCAGTGGCCAAAAAGAGTCGTTGATAGTACCTAATATTACCTACCTCTCTACATCGATAACAAATAATATTGCTGCCTCGTCCACCTACTAAGGCGGCACCCTTGAGCGCCTGAAGCCAACCATTGGCTGGTCTTTCTTCCCGCCAACGCACCAACGAGAGTACCGCATCCCCCGGCCATAGTATACGTATCTCGTCAAGCCGAGTATGTGATTCATACGGTTGACGGTTGTTGGAGATGACTACTTGCACTACTCTACTACTAATATCTCATTCCACTATCTTAATTAAATTGGCATTCCGCTATCTCCCAAGTCAACTCGGGTTCAAAATAAACGTGCTCGTTCCTTGATCAATCCTTGAACAGCTGGAAATTTCTCGAGCACCCACAGCCAAGATTTCCCAGTTTGCTTGGCTGCCACACTTGCCCCAGGCATAATTCCCTGGATCTCAATCTTTTATCTCAAGACTCCCTCCCCCTCTTTCGCTTACTTATAGTTCTTCCCTATACCTTTAGAAATCTGGCCCGTTCGTACAATTACCCTGCCTTCCCTCTGTGGCGTCTCCTCAAGGCACCGGGAGATTCTCACCTACCTACATCTATCCAGCTTGTCTCCGGTATGATTCTTGCCCCGCGTTGAGGCAAACTGCCATTGTTTCCTAGACCCCGCGGCTCTCCCAGGTCAGATATCTAACCCTTGTGACAGGAGCAGTTTTCATCTACAGAAAGGTCGATCTATCGCTTCCTTAGAAAACTAGCTCAATCTGGATTCTCCACCTTCCCTCCTTTCATGATCGCCATCCCGGGTGGTCCGTATCCCGATCGAAAAAAAGGTACTCGAAACGGCACCCTCTTCGCATCTACTCCACGATGAGCGCGGCTACAATGGGCCCAGAACAAGAACCTGTCGCAGAGGTTCCGTCCGCTCAAGTGGAAATTGACAACCGATCCGACAACACAACGGACGATGACCTTTCTCCCTCTGTCACTGCTCCTCCGTCTTTTACTTCGGTACCGTCCCTTCGGCCGGACCGAGATATGACATCGGGAATAAGTGCTTCGTCGACTCATTTGGGCCAAATCAATGCGGCTCGGCATGGTGCAGGGACGCCGACACGGCCACACGCCTCCATGAGTGGCGCGCAGCCAGGAGGTTTGAATCAGGACATCCTGGCCAAGATGAAGGCCTTCTCCCTCTCCAGACAGGGTGCTCCCCCGCATTTACCTCATGCTGTCTCCACCGGAACAATCCCTTCGGCTCGGTCAAGCGTTTCCAGTTCGCCAAGTCCGATAGCAGGGCCGTCGCCTCCGATGGGAGGTGCACTTGCCGGGCGCCTTCCCCCGACCGCACGCCCTCATGGTAAAAACTGGGCATCTTCGCCCTCGGTGGCGGGAGTTTCTGCAGGTTCTCATTCACCTTCGCCGAAAACCGGCGGCCTGGCCGCAAAGAGAATGAAGCCAGGGTTAAAACTGTCAGATGCCACTGGCCCTGCGACTAGGTCTGGTGCCAGTTCGCCTGGCGACGGATCTTCGGACGCATCTGGAGGGTCGGCATTCAGCAAATATTCGGAGTATATTGACACGAAGGCGGGAACTCTGAATTTCAAGAACAAGGCGATTCTGCACGGTGGCGGCGTCGAATTCTCGTCCGGACATAGTTTCAGCATCTCGTTAGATGAGGTTGAGCGACTGGATGAGTTAGGTAAGGGTAACTACGGAACGGTCTACAAAGTTCGACATAGCCGGCCCCAAATGCGCAAACCCGGTATGGGGCTTCGCGGCATCATTAGTCGCCCGACTGAGAACTCGACGCCGGATAGCACTTCTGCGGCTAAGCCCCAGGACAATCTTTCCGGTTACATTATGGCGATGAAGGAGATTCGCTTGGAGCTGGATGAGAACAAGTTCGCCCAGATCATCATGGAGTTGGATATTTTGCACCGTTGCGTGTCGCCATTCATTATCGACTTCTACGGCGCTTTCTTCCAGGAGGGTGCGGTCTATATGTGTGTGGAATATATGGACGGAGGCTCTATTGATAAACTCTACAAGGACGGCGTGCCCGAAAACATTCTTCGAAAGGTCGCATTATCCACCGTCATGGGATTGAAGACTCTCAAAGACGATCATAACATCATTCATCGGGACGTGAAGCCTACTAATATTCTAGTCAACTCTCGAGGTCAAATCAAGATCTGCGATTTCGGCGTGAGCGGCAATTTGGTCGCAAGTATCGCGAAGACAAATATCGGCTGCCAGAGTTACATGGCACCTGAACGTATTGCAGGAGGTGGCGTGCAGCAGTCCGGCGCGACTGGTGGTGGAACCTATAGTGTGCAGAGTGACATCTGGAGTTTGGGCCTGACCATTATCGAATGCGCTATCGGTCGCTATCCATATCCTCCAGAAACTTTTAACAACATTTTCAGCCAGTTGCATGTAAGTCTTTCTCAAGCCCTTCTCAATCCATTCGCGTGGTCGAACGCTTTCTAATGTCATTCTTAAGGCTATCGTGCATGGGGATCCGCCAACATTACCAGAGCAAGGATACTCGGAAGAGGCGCATGCATTCGTCCGCGCTTGCTTGGATAAAAATCCCAGTAAGCGCCCTTCGTATAGTACGTTGCTCAGACATCCATGGCTTGCTCCCTTGATGCAACCCCCGACGGAGTCGAATGGTACCGATGCAACATCCGCCGCTTCGTCTGACGGCCAACCTGGCGGGCCCGATGCGAGTACTGCGACCGAGGATGAGGAAGTGGCGGAATGGGTCAAGGAGCGAATCGAACGTCACCAACGTGGACAGCTACAAGAGTCAGAGAAACCTGCATTGCATGCCGTTGCTCTGGATGCAGTGCCCGGTAGCCCTCTGCTTGATGATCCCTCCTCGCTACCATCAGCTTCTTAGGACAATCCCTTCTGGTCAGCTCATCTCTTATAACACCTGAACATTTCATTCTCCTCAATAATCCCCCTTCTCTATCGTCTATTTTCTGTTGAATGGAGCGAGTGCATGAACGGAGGACTTGTTGGCGCGGGCGCCGTCTGGGCAATTCTCCATTTATTTCGACCTGCAAATCTGTCATATGGTTGATTCTGTCGTTTTGCTTCGAACTCACATCTACGTGCTGCAAAGCTTTACTTATGTGTGATGGATTCTGAGATGTAAAGTGCCGGCAGCTTGAATCCGCATTTGTCTCATGTAAATAGATACATAACGTTTCGATACCCCTATTTCGGGCTAGATATTCTCCCAAATAGGACAACCACATTTATCTCATATCATTCTTGAAACCTCGGGCACCCCGACTCTCTGAAGGATTTGTCATTTTACGCTTAGCAATCAATCGCGTCACGTGTGGCTGCGATGACCGAATCTCCAGCCTCGAACGCCAAAACCCGCCCATCTCGGCGAAGTCGGCGGCCATCTTCGGAAGATTAGGAGACTCGGAAAGCGCCCGTCAATCTTATAAGATAGCCCTTGAGAGGAAATTGGTCGTTGTGGACGGTAATCTGATTTCGCTGCCCACCTCTGTCTCACATAGTAGTCGATCAACTCCGCTGACCTTCTTCTGCGTCAGCAATCCGTATTCTCTGTCATCCACCAACATCCGGGTTCCCCGCCAGCTTCGATCCTGGGAGCGTCCATTTTAGTTCTCGATTACTTTAGCTAGCTTTGCCCCTCCAATAATCCGTCTCCATCTCTCCTTTCTCCCCTCATTCGGCATCCACCACCTGCAGAGGGGCAATAAAAAACAGAAGAACTGGACCCTCCATGCTCTCCCGCTCCTCGCGCCACATTCTGCTTCCAGCTCAAGCATTCAAACCTCGTGTGTCGCAACTGGTCCGTTCATCAACTATCGTTCAGTCTGCTCGAGTGATTTCTACAGTTGCAGACCGACGAGCCAAATCTGCGATTCGAAAACTGGATTCTCCCCCTCTGATTTCCAAGACAGCTCCCCGTCTCGCCTCTCTCTCTCGACATTTTTCATCGACTGCGGTTGCGGCGGACTCCACCAAGATGGCTCCTACGGACGTCCAGCAGTATGACTATATTGTTTTGGGTGGTGGTAGTGGTGGTAGCGGTAGCGCACGGCGTGCCGCTGGCTGGTACGGTGCGAAGACGCTGATTGTCGAGAGTGGACGGTCTGGTGGTACTTGCGTCAACGTCGGGTATGTTTTGTGCTTTGCTGTCCGTGTGGCCCAGGGAAGCGTGGGATATGCTAACTGAAGGGTCTGCAGCTGCGTCCCCAAGAAGATGACATGGAATTTCGCTTCCATCAACGAAGCTCTCCACGTCGGCGAGCACTACGGCTACGATATCCCCAAGGACATCAAGATCAACTACCGTCAGTTCAAGGAAACCCGCGACGCCGTCGTCAAGCGTCTGAATGGTGCCTACGAGAGAAACTGGGGCAAGGAAGGTATCGACCTCGTGCATGGCCGCGCTCGGTTCGTCGAGCCCAAGGTCCTCGAGGTTACGCTCAATGACGGCGGAAAGGCTCGGTACTCGGCGCCTCACATTCTCATCGCGACCGGTGGCCGACCCATCCTTCCCCCTGTCAAGGGCGCCGAGCATGGTATCACCAGCGACGGGTTCTTTGAGATCGAGGAGCTCCCGCCCAAGGTTGCTGTCGTGGGTGCTGGTTACATTGCCGTCGAGCTGGCTGGTGTCATGGCCGCCGTTGGCGTGGAGACCCACATGTTCATTCGGGGCGAGACGATGCTGCGCAAGTTCGACCCTATGATTCAGAAGACGATGACGGAGCGGTACGAGGCCACCGGCATGCACATCCACAGGAAGCACGGCGGGTTCAAGGAGGTGCAGCTGCTGAGGGACGGCAAGGGCAAGGACAAGGTGCTCAAGCTGATTGGCAATGACGGCTCGGAGGAGGAATTCAACGAGGTGCTGTGGGCTATCGGTCGTGAGCCCGAGGTCGAGGATCTGGATCTCGAGATCCCCGGCGTGAAACTCAACGAAAGTGGCCACATCGCTGTCGACCAGTACCAGAATACCTCTGCGGATGGTATTTACGCCCTTGGCGATGTCACTGGCGTAGCGGAACTGACACCAGGTACGTTACTTTCTTCTTTGCCCCTCTGTTGAACTACGTGACTAAATACTTTTGCTTCGTGTAGTCGCCATTGCAGCCGGTCGCCAACTCGGCAGCCGTCTCTTCGGTCCCCCGGCCCTCAAATCCGCCAAACTGTCCTACGAGAATATCCCCACCGTGGTCTTCGCACACCCCGAAGTCGGCACCATCGGTCTGACCGAGCCGCAAGCCCGCCAACGCTACGGTGACGACAATGTCAAGGTTTATTATACCAAGTTCACGGCGATGTACTACGACGTCCTGCCTGCTGAGGAGAAGAAGAAGAACCCGACCGAGTTCAAGATCGTGTGTGTCGGTCCCGAGGAGAAGGTGGTCGGTCTGCACATTCTGGGTCTCGGCGTGGGCGAGATGCTGCAGGGTTTCGGTGTCGCGATTAAGATGGGCGCTACCAAGAAGGACTTTGATAGTTGTGTTGCTATCCACCCGACCAGTGCAGAGGAATTGGTGACCATGCGGTAGATTCTAGAGAGTTAGATCTAGACAACTTGAATACAATAGACATTGTACATGGATATATAATTTGAGCGGTACAGTCAGAACTTCAACCACTTAAAAACTGGCCATTATTCAAGGAATCTTAAGTAGACAGAAAATAAAGATAAGCAAAGAGCTCATTCTCTCCTATCATACATACATACGGATATTATACATCGATTAATAAATAATAATAATACATGATAAAAACTGTGAGGGACGACCACCAGCAAAAACCAACAAACCCCAACTAACAACGGTGGGAACAAAAAACCTGGTGGAAAAAAGGAAGGGCCCTGACCGCGACTCGAACGCGGGTCTCATCCATACAGGGCTCTTTTGAGAGCCGGAGAGCTAACATTCCCCGAAGGATGAATCGTACCTCTGGACCATCAGGGCTAGTGTATGACTTTCTCACAATATCTATAACTTATCAAGAGCATCTGCTAGTTAATAAATACCCACTTTCAACTATAGTTTAAGGTAGGGAAGGTAAATCAATAAAAGGAATGAAAGTTCAGTAGCTTATGAAGGGTAGTACTTGTTATATATATATTTTTGTCTGTAGGTGTTAAGTGAAATATATTTCTGGTTCTGGATTGCCTACTAGTGTGATTACTTATGGTAGAGCAGCAATGAAGTGTAACGATGGCTATATCTGCCTATGGAACAGACGTCTCTGTCTCCTGTTGTACCTGCTCCCTGGTCTCTCCTTTGAAGAAGCCATTGCGCCTCCCTGCTGGCTTCTTGGAAATTGAACCTAGAGATTCAAGCTCTTGATTATATAGTCAGGCCTGGCGAGGTATCCCAGACTAGGTTGCAGGAAGGTAGCAGAGTCATTGAATATATTTTCTTATACATTATAAGGGAGGTGACATACAACTTCTTCCACGGAGAGAACCACGGGAGCCATGCAGAAGCATCTTGCTCAGGGCCAAAGGTTACTCGAAAAGAAATATTTTTCCGCCTTGTCGCTCTTCAGTGAACTCACCATCAATGCCTCCGCGTCGCCGTCCCAGGATATCTCTCTGGGGCCGCTTTCGAACATGGCTTCGCTACGCACACTCACCCCTCCGACTACGTGGTAGTCTCACACGACTCAGGCATCAGCACAAGTATCCCCTGCTCACGCTCCTGCGCATGTTCATCCCCTATCCGTCCTGGTTCTTCCCACTCCCTGGTCCATTTCCTCTCCGCGCGCTCAGCGAGGATACAAAGAACGAGACGGGCATTATCGAATCTCGTTTTGACGATATCCATAATCTCCGCGCTATTCCTATCTGGCGTATGCGCGACACGCCCCTGCGATCGATTTACCGGCTCTACGAGCTCCACCTCGCTGATCATTACGAGCTGGTGGGGTGGGAGACGGATTACTTTTTCTATCGGCGAGACTGGAGGCTACGAGACATACCAGACCCGAGAGATCCTGACCCGCTTCGGTATGCGATTGTCGCCTCCATCGTTGATGAATTACACGAGGCAGTAAATTGGAGATTGAGTCTGGGTCTGCGGAGGAATCGAGAGCATGTGTATCGTGAAGAAGAAGGAGATCCATGGCCACCTTTCACTCCAGAGGAACTGCCTGCCTGGACAAAGAAGGTGGCCCCTATTGATAAGGATCTACTGAGGCTGKCAGTACCACCAGAATCACTGGATGCAGAGGGGAGTCTGATGCTTGAAGCTAATGGTAAAAGTCCCAATTTTGCCCGGCGTAATATTATCACAAACACAGGATGGTTCTATACCATCTAGGAAAGATTCAATTGCTACTCCTTGAGTATTGTTTGATTTGATTGTACTGTATCTACCCACTGGCGCCGTTGAGTACACGTATTTAAACCAGAGGAAAGCAAGATTAATGCCAGTTGGAAGATACTACGCAGAATTGCTTGGTGATATAAAGTTATTGGCTTGTTAATCATTCACTAATGTGTGCATAAGAAGCTAAGCCCAGTTGCAGCAGGTCTGGATGCATTAATAGCAGCTACTTTAAACAGACAGAGTTGAAGGGCCCCTATTTATCCATGTCCTTTCATCACTGAGACTGGGGTAATCCACCAATATGTTCTGCATAAGCTGGCTCACATTCTTAGAATCTGATCGTTCTCCAACCGCCGCCAAGACTGTCTCAGCACTCGAGCCTACACCCTCCTGGCGGCTGTTTAGGGAACTTCGAGCTCAGCTTCCTGTACTGATCAACTCCAGAGCATTCTAATGACACTTGAATGACCCAATGTCACCTCTCCGGCGGCTGACCTTGACATCACGGCGTACTATATTCTCCTTCGCTAGAAAAGTCGCTCTGGCAGTTACCGCCCAACTCGGGGCCTTCAATTCCTCAGCAGGAACTTGTCGACGAGGAGGTTTGTCCCGACTACAACACGGCGACTTTCTACCCAGCAAAGCCCGGGGAAGTACTGGCCAAGAAATTTCAGCTGCTTGTCAAAATCGGATGGGGATCACAATCAACCGTATGGCTCGCCCGAGACATTTCAAGGTACCTACCCACGTCCGTAACCACGCTTGCCAGCTTCATGTTGACCGGCGAGAAACTGACACTGGCCATCACAATCAAGACTCAAATGGCAACCTGAACAAACTGTGGCCCTGAAAATAATCAACAGTAACAACGCCGACGATGCTCAGCATGAGAAGGAGATTGAAAGCCAAATCTCGCAGCAAAATCCACAGCATCGTGGCTGCGTGATTCTACGGACACGTCTGGATGTCTTCGAGGTAATTGGCCCCGAGGGAAAGATATTGCCTTTGTATTTCTATTTGCATATCTTCAATTCAAACTATGGGCTTAATTCCATGGGTTCAGTGCATATAGTGAACTATGCTCTTTTGGTTTTTGTGAGCAATGCCGCTCTGAGCTCGCCCGACTTGGGTAATGGGAGTCTGGGCATTCTTTATCACTCGTTCAACCTCCGTGCTTTATCTATACTCTCTCTACCTTTCAACTGAATTACTCTACTATATGAGCTGCCTCAATCCAGACATTCTTTTAAAGCCTTTGTACTAGCTGCGCACCCTCCGGGAAACTGGGACTCTAAGCTTGAGCATATCAAGCCTCTTCAGTAAGCGGTTTCCCAAGGTTTATGTATGCACCTGCAGAACCAAGAAGTTATAATTTCTAAAATGAAAGCAAAGACTGATCAATTCTTGGTGTTAAACTGTCTGAGCTAGTACATTGTCTCTCTTAATGATAAGCCTCAGCTCCCCCGTTTCCTTGTCCTCTGGCATAGCCTTCAGAAACACACAACAGTCCATTATTGTCACAGGTAAGTGTAAGGGATGAAGTAGTTACTCATAATCAGGCTCCTTCTCGTACTTATCAAGTGGCCGGATAACCTTAACAGCTCTGATAAACCCAGTATAGGGCATAGCTTGGTTCAAAGCTTCGCGATAGAAACCCATGTCGAGTCTGATTGTCTTTGATTCATCAAGATCTGTAAACAGCGTTCTGCGATCTTCTGGTATTAGGTCCGTGATTCTGATTTCTGGGTCTCGGGGATTGCTGGGGGTTGGAAGGATATCCTAAAGACCCAATCAGTTCTATTCTTCATTCATCCATGTAAGACTCACAATTCGTGATCCTCTCAAAGCAGGTCTTCCCCCATTCATCTCCCACATCTCCATGTATGCAGAGATCTGACCCACCCAATCAGACGCAGTGATTTCAGATTTTATTGCTTCATATAAATGATACGTCGGCTCAAGGACAGCACCATTTGCTTTGATATTATGACAGTGTCTAGACTCCGCGTCTCCGTATTTGCTGATAAGGTTACTGAGACTGGAGGTAAACTCTTCCGTTCTCCGACGACAGTGGAGCTGACGTTGGTCCTCATCTACTTTGATGATAATCGCCAGCTTCACCTCATCGCCAGACCGCAATAGCCACTGGGAAGCGTCACGTAACAAGTCGGCGTAGGCTTCTGTGAACCCGACCTCAAAGACCACTCGTAGTACAGCATCGTGTCCAGATTCTTTGAAGCAGATGGTGAAGTCAGGATCCTTTGTCCAAGCGAAAGGTTTCTTTCCAGGGCTGAGTGTAGGTGCTCGACACAGAAGACGGCTTTTGTCGAGTGGCAGAATGCACCTGGCCTCGTCGGGGGTTAGGACAGTAAGATACGCCTCCGTCAAAGATCGCGCTATACATTCGTCCAGAGCGCTATGGAGCGGAGAGGGCATAGGTTTAACCTTCAGCACCTCATACTCTGGGTCGTATTCAACTCGATACCTTCGCCTCACGGCCCCCAATATTTGACGAACTGGTTGGCTGTTGAGGTTGTCCCACGAAAGCTTCAGTAGTAAGTTCGTTTCGGGATCGCTGCGCAGAAATGATTCTAGCTGAGCTCGAGCATCTGCTGGCGAATCCACGGGGATTGCGTTCGAGGCCTTGGGGTTATAGAAAATCTGTGTATGAGAGACAGCCGGTGCCATGTTGAGGTGGTCCATGAAGGATTTCAAATGGGGGGGAGCGTCCAAAGATGACAGTAAAGAAGGGTGCGAAAAGCGCGAAAATGGAAGGTGATCTTTCTGGATGAGGAAGCGGGAATGGAAACCAAGAGTAGTGACGAAGGGCCGACAGCTACTTCTGTATCTTAGAAACACATTTATCCAGTTTGACTCCTGACAATCTTCCCATTTTCAGCACCAACGGCGACACAGCTGCCCCTTGGTATATCTACTAAATTTTATCATTTTATCTTACTCATTTGTCATCCTGAATCCGGGATTCAGTTTGAGTCCGAAAAAGAGTGTCCAGACAGAGGTTTTATTACTCTTGTTACAGTGCTCATGAAGTCTCCCACAACCTCATCTTTGCCTAGTAGAGGTGATGTCATTCGCCGTCACGTGATTGTTGAACCCACCATCAGTGATCGAAGCACAATCAAGCAATCCACAACTGTCCACCACTCCACCTTGCACTTTGGCGTCTTGAACTCTTGGTATTTATTGCTCCAATCGACTTATTCTAAAAGTTGTCATGGACTGCCTTCTACAGCCACTCCATGTCTAACTAGCCTCGCCGACAATAGTGAGGAGAAGTCTTTTCACTCTATCCATCTATCCATCTACGTTCACTGCGAAATCAATACACAGCATATCTTATGCTGCTGACTGACTGTAAGTTGCAGTAGACAGCATCTACCTTATCCAGGGGTGTTCTGCCGCTGCTTCTGTCATTATAATTACTCATCATCTACCTAAGGACTCCAATGCACCTTCCATTTGTACAAGGAGGCTCAAGAACCTCACTTGGGCAGGAACATTCCGTGAAAGAGGAAACGACAACACCTCGTGTAGTCAAAACACCCTTGACTGTACCTTGACTGTATGTCAAATGTCCTTCAACTATTGTGTCAAGAAGAGAACTAAAAATGGCAGATCCTGGACGAGACCGAATCCTAATGCCTCCGCCGTCCTCCCCCGTGGTACACGCAAATCCCGCTCTGTCAGCTTCTACATCAGGCGCGTCATCAAACAAGTCTAGCGCATTTTCAGACACTACCAAGTTACGAGTCAAAAAAATACATGGGGATACGTGCTGGGCGTGCGGTAATGAGTCACCTCACATTTGCCATGTTGTGGCACAAGAAGATAGACAGGTAGGCAAGACAATATCATATTATCTCGGTGTTGAGATGATAATAACAGTTTGCAGGCTCCGCTTTGGAGTGAACTTGGGCTCATAGACTTCCCAATAAATTCATATCTGAACGCAGTTCCTCTTTGCCCGACTTGCCACAGCCAGTTTGACTGCTCCATCGACCCGGGTTTTGTTCTTATGCCACTAGACCTCGATTTCTTCATCAAGTTTGAGATAATGGACAGAGACCGCTGCAAGAAAGCAGCTGAGGAGGGGTTTCCCTCAAGGCGAATGGCCCCCACTTTTGAAGACTACAAGCAACATCAAGTCGAGCAGGGTATCATCACCGCCGATGCTATTGGCGGGAAGTATCTACCTATATTCCTCAAATCCTATCTGCATGTCGGTCTACTTGATTTCGACATTACCGAAGCAACCGAAGCATTTTCAAAACCCAGAGAGTGGCACGGCGCCCCCATGGCTTCTATTCGCAGGTGTATCCACGCACTTGGTAGCCCCCGTCTTGGCATGAGGAACCCGGCAGCTTACCATAAGCTGCAGCGCCTATACGAGCTATACTTTTGCAATAATGATAACTCCTCTCCATTGTCCATCACTTTATCCGACCACCCAACGCAATCCGGAAAGAAACGCCAGTATGGTGATTCCACAGGTGAGCCTCATTCGAAGAGGCACCAAGGCCCTCAGGCAGATAGTGGGAGTTCTAGCCGAGAAACTACATTCTGTCCGACCCTCCAACGAGAAGTGCGTGCGTATTGGACCCTAGGACCAGATGTTTCGGCCGAGGAAGCGGTTCGTCAGTTTGCACCTATTCTTTCTCAGTCGCTCAAAACTACCCATGCTTAAGTCTCGTAATGGCGTTTGAGACTTCTCATACTCCGTCTTTGGTCGATCTATTGTTCTCTGATCGTTCCCTCCGTCCTGATGGTATCTGGCGAAGGGTGTATGATTGGTGAGACTATCCAGGGCGGATCGGAAGGCGCCCGGACGCTGTCCACGTCCGGCAGGCAGATGTTCATGGTGGATGAGTTCCGAGATACAGGAAGGCCTCTGCTTAGCGTCCTAGCAGATCGAATAGCATCTTCATTAAAGCTCTGGCAAAGTTTAGAAATTGTTCAGTATACGCAAATATCGTTAACGACTGTTCGACAGCTTTCTTCATGACCGCTCTCTTGACGACGAACCCATTCCAGGACCTAGAGAACATGGACGTCAACTATGTGAACGGCTATGCGCCGGTTGTCATTGATCCTGATAATTACTTCTGCCTGCGAGAAAATAAGAGCCGCCCTTATTCATTTCTCAAGTTCACCCTATTCCTTTTGACAGAATTCATTCTGAAACTTGGTTTCGGAATGAGTATAACAAAAAGCAATTTTATTCTTCTCTTCTAGTATCAAGGCTTCAGTTTGTAATGGAAAATGCATGTCCTGCTTTTTCCAGCCTGGGCAGCCTGTTCTTTTCGAGTAGAATTCATCTTGAAACCTGGCTTTAGGATGAATGGAAGAAACTGCTATCGCGGAATTCGATTTATTAACTACGTTCAGGTTGTATAGATAGGATGAAAACAAATTTGATTCAAGTCATATGTAGACTATTGAGAGAAAATCATTCTGTAGTTACATGTAATAGTGCTGTAAATGGCTTGAATCGGCATGCAGATTGTAAAGGAAAGCAGGAGTGCAAGACAGCAAGTTGAAGAAAGTCTAGAGGAATGACTTCTCAGAACACAAACGCGTGTTCGGTGAATCTACCCCTCTCTGTCTCTATCAACAGCTTATAGCTGAGCTGCATAGATGCTCGGGCGGCCCTTCGCCAATCAAGGATCCATTCCCATGCCTTGTGCCTATCGTCACCTAGGAGAATCTTGATCTCTTCTTGTACGTCAGAATCCAGATAGGAGCGCCGGCCCAAGATAGCATCTGATAATGGGCTAATGCCCTGTAGGATGGGTGCATTTTCAATGAATTTTAC